TGGCTAATACATCATCTCAACCCAATGATCAAGCAAGTGCAAGCAATCAACTTACAATCCTTCAACCAACCAATATTGCAAAGAATCATCCATTGGACACTATCATTGGTAATATTTCAAGAGGTGTGCAAACTAGATCAAGATTGGCTTTATTTTGTGAGCATTTCTCATTTGTGTCATCCATTAAAACAAAGAAGATAGATGAAGTATTGAAGGATATTGATTGGGTGAATGCTATGCATGAAGAATTAAACAACTTCATAAGAAATCAAGTATGGAAATTAGTAGAGAGACCAAAGGGACACAATGTGATTGGAACCAAATGGGTCTTTAGAAACAAGCAAGATCAAGATGGGATAGTAGTAAGGAATAAAGCAAGATTGGTAGCACAAGGATATACACAAGTTGAAGGTCTTGACTTTGGAGAAACATATGCCCCGGTTGCTAGATTGGAAGCAATTAGAATCTTGCTAGCCTATGCTTGTGCCCACAACATCAAACTCTATCAAATAGATGTTAAGAGTACATTTCTCAATGGTTACATAAATGACAAAGTATATGTTGAGCAACCTCCCGGTTTTGAAGATGAAGAAAGGCCTGACCATGTGTACAAGTTGAAGAAGGCATTGTATGGCTTGAAGCAAGCACCTAGAGTATGGTATGAGAGATTGAAGGACTTTCTACTCTCTAAAGGGTTCATAATGGGCAAGGTTGACACCACTCTTTTCATCAAGAAGATTGGAAAAGATTTATTTGTGTTGCAAATCTATGTTGATGACATCATATTTGGATCAACCAATCAAGACTTTTGTGAAGAATTTGGAAAGATGATGGCTAATGAGTTTGAGATATCCATCATCGGAGAGTTAAGCTACTTCCTTGGTCTTCAAATCAAGCAATTGAAGAATGATACATTTATGAGTCAAGGCAAGTATATCAAGGACATGATCAAGAAGTTTGGCATGAGTGATAGCAAAGCCATTAGTACACCAATGGGAACAAATGGTAACTTGGATAATGATGCAAGTGGCAATATGGTGGATCAAAAATTGTATCGGTCTATGATTCGAAGCCTACTCTATGTGACCGTATCAAGGCCGGATGCTATGTTTAGTGTATGCATGTGTATAAGATTTCAAGCCTCACCAAGAGAAAGTTATTTGAAGGCTACAAAGAGAATATTGAGGTACTTGAAGCATACACAAAATATTAGTTTGTGGTATTCCAAAGGAGCAAAGTTTGAGCTAGTTGGTTACTCCGACTCGGATTATGCGGGATACAAGGTTGAAAGGAAGAGCATCTCGGGCACATGCCAATTGTTGGGAAGATCACTTGTTTCATGGTCATCAAAGAAACAAAATAGTGTTGCATTATCAACCGCCGAAGCCGAATACATATCCGCCGATAGTTGTTGTATACAATTACTTTGGATGAAGGCCACATCGAATGACTTTGGAATCAAATTCAAGAAAGTGCCATTATTACGTGAGAATGAGAGTGCAATCAAGTTAACCAATAATCTGGTTCAACATACAAGAACAAAGCAAATTGATGTCCGCCACCATTTCATAAGAGATCACCAACAAAAAGGGGACATTTGCATTGAGAGTGTAGGCACCGAAGATCAACTTGCCGATATATTCACCAAGCCATTGGATGAGAAAAGGTTTTGCAAGCTAAGAAATGAGCCGAACATATTGGATTTCTTAAATATGTATTGATGCACTCCCCACTTATATGACATGCCTCTCCTTCTAGCAATCCAAGGTAAAAGTTGATTGGCATGGCATACATCCTTGCTAAGGACATATTTAGTGCATCTAGACATCTTTTACATTTAATAGGCTCATTCATGAAAATCAAATGAATTTGATGATTGTATGGTACCACTATTGCTTCTATGCTTATTTTTGTCTAGTGGTAGCATATGACATGTTTGTGGGCTTGTAAACCTAGTGTTTGATCTAGAAAATGAGCTCTAAGTGTTTAACTCAACATGGTACAAGATAACCCTTATTTGGAGGTGTGAAGAAGCTTGTCATTGGATCAAACCGAGTTAAATGTCTTTGGCCAGTATTCTAGATTGGACCAAATTTAGAAAAATGATTCTCACCCCATTGATTGACATTGATAATCTCAACCTATCTATATTTTGAACCTTTGTGGTCATTGATGACAAAGGGGGAGAAAAACAAAGATATACGTGTTAAGGGGAGAAATAGATACTAGGAAAGTGAAAAGACAACAAGGGAGAGAATTTGACATAGGGGAAGAGATATGACAAAGGAAAGGGGATAAATTAAAATTTTGAGCACACAATTAGGGGGAACAAGCTCATGAACTTGAATGGTGCATTTGATTGTGCATTTCATATGTTTGCTTGCATGACATAAGTTTTAAATTTCAATATCCATACTTGTGTGGTGTGCTAGTTGTAGGTTTGAATGATGAAATAAAAAACTAGCATGCATAGGTTAAATAACTAGACTCATGCTCATATTATGAAAACTAGACCATTACTTCTAATGTTGATCTCACGGAGTATTCTAGTTTTTGTGTATGTCTAGTTACCAATTGTGCTAAGGATGGTATATTGGTGCACTCCGATTGGTATCACGCTTCAAAGGTCCATCTCTTATATCTTAGCATCATTTAGTAGACATTGTCTCCTATATTTTCTATCTAAGCATATGTGTAAGCTACAATTCAAACTCTTAGCACATATGTTGGGGGAGCAATTAGTACCATATGGAGTTCATAAAACTTGTCCATATCCTTTTACACATGGTAAATATACTTGGGCAAGCAACACTGATTTAATTTAATTTCAATTCATATATTTGTGCAAGGGTTGTCATCAATTACCAAAAAGGGGGAGATTGAAAGCTCTAGTTTGATTTTGGTGAATTGATAAAACCCTAAGTGCTAACCTAGTTTATCAAAGTGATCATGAGATAGGTAGTACATTGCAAGTGGTGAAACAAATAAAGATCATGACATGATGATGGTGATGCCATGGTGATGATCAAATGCTTGATCTTGAAAAAAAGAAATTGAAAAATAAAAGGCTCAAGGCAAAGTTATAAGTGGTAGGAGCCATTTTATTTTGGTGATCAAGACACTTAGCGAGTGTGATCACATTTAGGTTCGATAGCCGTACTATTAAGAGGGGTGAAACTCGTATCGAAATACGGTTATCAAAGTGCCACTAGATGCTCTAACTCATTGCATATGCATTTAGTATCTGGTGGAGTGCTAACACCCTCGAAAATATTTGTGAAAATATTCTAACACATGTGTACAAGGTGATACACTTGGTGGTTGGCATATTTGAGCAAGGGTAAAGAAGATGGAGTTGAAAAGGAGTTAGTCGCGCTGGTCACATAGTGTCCGGACGTGTCCGGTATGGCGACCGGACACGTCCGGTATTAATGACCGGACTCTGGCTCAGTGGAGCGACCGGACGCTGAGGAGTTACTATTCAGCGTCCGGTCAAAGTGATGTAGCTCAGTACTGGATTTTAGAGAGCGACCGGACGCGTCCGGTCGCGTGTGAACCAGTGAGTCTCAGGTTTCAGCGCTAAAATTGATCGGGCTCTGGGAGCGTCCAGTCCGGTGTGACCGGCGTCCAGTCGCCAGAGCGGCTCTGGGAGCTCTCTGGACTCGACCGGACGCCGCGTCTCCTGCGTTCGGTCCGGTGTGACCGGACGTGTCCGGTCGGCCCAGAGCGGCTCTTGGAGCTCTCTAGACTCGACCGGACGCTGAGTTTCCTGCGTTCGGTCGTCCACACCAGACGCGTCCGATCGTAGTTGAGTGTGGTACTCATGGCAGCAATGGCTACTTCGTTTGAATGGGACACGTGGCGGTCAGGCAGCGACCGGACACGTCCGGTGCACACGACTGGTGCGTCCGATCAGCCCGCAGTCAGCCCAATAATTAAGCCAACGGCTCTATTGTTTGGGGGTGTCTATAAATACCGTTTGGCCGGCTCTAGCTCACCCTCTTAGCCATTTGCATTGACATAGCAACCTTGTGAGCTAGCCAAAGCCCTTCCACTCATCTTCGTCATTAATTCAACATCTTTGTGAGATTGGGAGTGAATCCAAGTGCATTACTTAAGTGTTTGCATCTAGAGGCACTTGGTGTTCGTGTTTTGCTGCGGGATTCGCTTGTTACTCTTGGTGGTTGCTAGACGGTTTGGAGCAGCTTAGACCCGTTTGAATAGGCTAAAGATTTTATAGAATTATTATGATAAAAATGAAATCTGTACACCATCAAACGGGAGGATAGTAAGGCAGATTTTCATAGTCTTATCTCATCACTCAAAGTCCCAAAATCTCAAAATCCCTTTCACACTTGATAATCTAGATTTATAAAATCCTCTAGTCATCCAAACAGCACCTTTGGCTACCTCTCAGAAACAGGCGGCTAAGGTTGACCAGCCTTTTGCTCTCACAAATCCTAGCAAACCAGATCAAGTTTATCCGTACAACAACAACAACAAAACCATGGACTTGACTCGTGCTGACCCGGCTACGCTTGGCCACATCAAAATATTAGCCTGGCTGCAATAAGCATGGGAACCGAACAGGCCCTACCTAGGCTGAGCAAGGACCTGGGCTCCGAAGTGGAGCAGAGACCATCACTTCAAACAATTCTGCTAAAGGTTCCGACTCGCACGCATTTGTCAAGAAAAGGGTTTCCAACATCATGCAGAAGACATGATTTACGAACTGATTGCTTAAGCCCCCCCCCCAAAATTGAGCTAGGCTTCCTACGCTCCTGAAATGCAAAGCATTTGCACAATTTGAAGAATATATTGTAATATAAGACAACAAAGCTGATCATAAAATTAGCTAAAACCAACCGCAATACAACGCATTGGCACAATAGAGGACTTGCCAAAACTATTTAGCACATGAAACATACTGTAATATCTATTTCAGACAGATGAAACTGGGCCCATGACAAAACAGTTTGCTGTCAACGGGCCAAGGGGCCTCAAGCGCTCTCGGCCACAGGGTAGTCAAACACCACCTCCTTCCCACAGAGCCTCCGGTAGACCGAGCTGAAAGTGTCAAGCTTATTCTCGGTGTTTGTTCGCTCCTTTGGATCCAGGAAGACCTGTCACAAGGGGTGTGTATCACCAGTGTTGTTAATTCAGCAAGAAAGCAATAAGCAAACGCCATGCAGGGTACTTTTGAGATATGAAAAATGTAACATCCTTGCATTGCATATGCAGATGCACAGATTCATTGAAAAGCATCACAAGGAACAAGGGTAATTGATTTTATTATAGGCAAGCAGTTGAAGTGAAGTGCAAATTCCAAAGAACAAGCCAATTAGTGATTGCAAAAATGCTTTCAGACATATCTACAAATTTATTTTGATGGGAATACTTTTAGCTTTTTTTTTTTTCATTTAAGGGATGGAACATTTGAAGGGCAGGCCTGGTGCATTGGTGAGAGTTGCCTCATTGAGTCACCAGGTCGTGGGTTCGAAGCAGCCTCACCACAGATTTTGCGGGGGGAAGGCTTGCCTCGGTTTTTCCCTTCCCTAGACCCTACTCATGTGGGAGCCTACGGCACTGGATCTGCCCAAAGGGATGGAACATTTATTATAAATTTGATCACCAACTAGAAAACAATCATATAAGAGCATGCCAACTTATAAGACAAATTAATTGCCTAACTAGAAAACAGAATGAGAACTTGATGATGTACTGATTTGCACCACTGTAGATTCTATAGCTCATATCAAGAAAAGGAGTAGATATTATCATGGCAACAACAAACCTTCAACACTTTGGCACCATCTATGTGGTACCTAATACGCTTCCCAACAATCTCAGCTGGATACACAACGTCCTCCAAAATGCCATCATGAACAGCGGTAAGAGTGCGGCTACGTGGGCGCACAATAGCTGAGCCTTTCTTTGGGGGCCTCACTATTCTTCGAGTAGCAACCAGAACAACATCCTATATTAAATTACCACGAAGAGGGAAAATGAATTCATGAAAGCTGATCAAGTATTAACAGGAAACATGCCAATATCACAATAAAACTGTAAAGGGTGACTGTTCTCCATCAATTATAATGTCATACACCAAATCAAAGTCTGAGGATTAACAGAAATTTGAGACCCCATAAAAAAAAGTTCTTGAAAACTAGGAATGAGCTAAAATAAAAATTAATAATCTTTCAGGTTCAGTTTTTGCAAAGGCCCATAGTACAGTTAATCCAGGTTTCAAATAAATAGGCATGGCTAATCACTCCTCCAATGGTCATGTTTTAGAACAAAATATGCGCTTATGGTATTTTAAGATAAATAGTTTCACTGAATTACCAGCATACGATCAGAGAAATTTGCTTCATATGCCTAAATATTCATTAATTGCATAAGAGCTGTACATTATCCCTTTATCAGAATAATGTGAAGCGACTACCATTTTGCCATCTTCCACAAGGTGTACAACCAATTAACTAAAAGTTACTCTCACCAATTGTGTTTATAGGCCTGGGTAGACCTTCTCAACTATTCTCTAAGTCATAATCATAAATATTGTAGACAATTTTCTATTTTCCACACCTAATGCCCTTGCTTAATGAATATTATCTCAAAAAAAAAAGAATCATCTTTTTTTCTTTTTACCAAAAATAAGCCATCTTTTCCTATGTGGCAATAACTGAAGGGCAACAAAAATTCGTTTTCATCTATGTTCTTAAGTCATGTTTCCAAGTCTACAACTTACATTTCAATTCAAGGAGTACCACCTTAGAGGAATACTCATATATGTTACAGCAAACAGTTTGTTGTTAAAGCTTTAACAACCAACACTCAGCACAAACAAGCAGCTTGCCACTTGTCAGATTTGTTTCAAATAGTAGTATTGAGTAATTCAACTCTCAGGCGAAGATGTTTCAAATATAGAAGCTATTGGGCATAGTACATATGATGTACTGCTTTATGTACGATGTAATTGCAAAAGTATGGATGGTTTTCTCACCTTCCCACTGAACTTCTTCTCAAGCTCCCGAACAAGCCTCACATGAATCTTCTTGTAAGATTTTTGTAGTCTGTATGGAACATGGATGATAACAGCCTTCCTGTTGCCAGCCATATCCATCTGCCTGCATGGAATGAGTAATCAAATTTTATCACATTAGACTGCACCAAATACACCCAAGGTTCAAACAGATAAGCAAGTTAGAAGATACACACATGGCTCCATTGATGTAAAGGTCCTTCAAGTCACTCTTAAGCTCCTGATTCCCATTTTCGAGGTCAAAGAACGCCTACACCACAGACAATTAGACTCCAGAAAATTTCAATCAAAGAGTAAACAGACAAGTAAGCAATTCAAAGAGACTAACCTGGGCAACTGTGTCCTCAAACTCAGTTGGCTCCACGCCATTGTCCTTCTGGATCTTCCTCCTTGCTGTAAACATTTTCTCTAGCTTGAGCTGACCCTACAGTTCAATAAAAGTTAACCTCTGAACCAAAAGAGGACCAAAAGTGTTTAGCAAACTGTTACTCCTAATCAAGGGATCCCATCATCTTATCAACTACTCCCTCCATTCCAAATTATAAGACGTTTTGGTACTATGAATCTAGACATAACTTATATCTAGGTGCATAGCAAAAGCTATGAATCTAAAAAAAACCCAGAACGTCTTATAATTTAGAATGGAGGGAGTAATAGATTATCCTCTTATATCAAAATACACATGAGGTTGTCACTCTTGACAAAATGCTAGCCTTCAAGAACTATTGGTCGATGAATTCAACATCCAAAGAGCAGGGAACACATGTTTTTACAGCCTGCAATCTACAATTGCAGTTATATTGATTTAAAAAAAAGCAGGGAGAACAATTTTGAGCTACTATCGTCCTAAATTAAAAAAAACTGTAGGTGATCAAATGAGCTCCTAAGGAACGTCCATGGCAACAAAACGGTAGCACACAGAAATATTGATTTAAAAAAGTGAGCCGTCTAGTTTGCCAAAAGCTGCAGAAATGTGCAATGTAGAACGGCAGCTGATTTCCACACGCCAACTGTTTTTCATTTTATTTGTTTGGCAAACTCGCATCTAGGGAGGAGCAGTCACTAATCTATGTCCGCGGCAAAAACAAATACGCGCAGGAAACCATCTAGCACTACACCAAAACCGACATGATGACGAAGAACTGCGCTACAAGCTAGTACCAAAAAATAGGGAGAAAAAACCAAGCAAGTCGATCTAGACGGTGACATTCTTACGTTCGTTATTAGAACTTAGAAGGGAATCCGGATTAGTACCTGGGCAGCTTCTGCGGAGACGGCTTCGCGAGCAGCGGGAGAGCCGAGAGCGTGCAGGCGCAGCGCAGGATGGCGGCGGTAGTAGGGAAAGACGAGAGGGGGCAAGGACGCAAGGTAGGGTTCTCTGGGACTTGGTGGTCATGGGCCTTGGGCTCTAAAAAAATCCAAGCCCAGCCTATTCAGTAATGAACGGACAATTCGGCTACGCGATCATGTTCCCATCTCACGCGGTCGATGTCGCAAACTTTAGCAAAAAGTCCCATTACCTCCTCATTTTTTTTCCTCCTTTTCCTCCTGAACTCTAAAATCGGGTAAACTACCTCCTAAACTTTTAAAACCGTTTGTTTTACATTCTTGACCGGTTATAAGCGGTTTTCAAAGACGATTTTTATCTTTATATTTTTTATTTATTTTGACTGAATTTTAAAAAAAATCTTAATAAATCATAAAAAAATCATAAAATATAATTTTTTTTGACTCCACAGGAGTAGATCTATATGAACATATAATATGGTATGCTTTCGTACAATTTTTTGTTATAGCTTTAGATCTATGTTTTTCTATAATTAATTCATAGCTGTAGTTGTATGGTCCAATTATGATGAAATTTTTATTATGAGCTAATTAATGTATACTTGAACTGTAGTAAAAAAATCATACTCATTGGATCATGTATAACTTAATTTTAGATTTATTTAGGTGTATGTTTATTAAAAGGTATTTATAAATCTATAACCAAGTTATATATGACCCAATGGGTATGAAGTTTTTACTACAGTTCAAGCATACAATAATTAATCCACCATAAAAAATTCACCATATTTGAACATTTGGACCATAGAAACTCAAGCTATGAATTAATTATAGAAAAACATAGATCTAAAGAAACATAAAAAAATTATACTAAAATATACCATATTATATGTTCACTATATAGATCTACTTATGTGGAGTCCAACAAAATTAGATTTTCTATTTTATGATTTTTCTGTGATTTACTATGATTTTTTAAAGATTTAGCCAAAATAAATAAAAAAGGAAAAGACAAAACCGCTTTTGAAAACTGCTTATAACCGGTCAGGGAGGTAAAACGAACGGTTTTAAAAATTCAGGGAGGTGGTTTACATGGTTTTGGAGTTCAGGGAGGAAAAACAGACTTTCACAAAACTTGAGGAGGTAATGTGGACTTTTTTCCCAAACTTTACCACACGACGTGCCGACGTGGGCCAGCCCACGCGCCTGTGCCCTATCAGAGATAAAGAAGATAGCGGCGGCAGCTAGGGCTCTGGTGAAGTTAGGGGATCTGAGATGGCGGTTGGGTGAGGCTAGCAGCGAGGGCGTTATGGTGGATCTCGTCGGCGCCCTGCCCTAGGGTCGACGAGCAGGGGCATGAGGTGGGTGGTGTGGCAAGATAGCGAGATCCGTCGACCGATGGTGGTAGGGGCGGAGGCGGGGGCGAGGATAAGGGCGTCGAAGGCATCCCGACGGAGGTTAAGGGAGGGCGAGGTTAAGGGGTAGGGGGTGGAAGGTGGGCGGCGATGTGGCGAGGATGGTGAAAGCATCTAGGCCTCAAGTTGGGTTTCGGTGATTAATGACGACACGAGATTACTGTGACTAACATTTGTTTTGCAGAGGCAACTTGAGTTAGGTCATGGTAATGATGTTTGTTTGGGCAATTATGGTTTTCATGCCCCTATCGATGAAAATCGTTTTAGTTTTCAAAGGTTGGACGACAAGGTTAAGGACAGACTAGTTTTAAATGTCATTTGACGTTGGAGAGACACTTAGAGTAGTTTAAGACTTTGTTTTTTATTTGGCCGTACTATGAAGGGGGGTATGAACTAGTAGCTTGACCTAGATGAGTCTAATGGGTTAGGTATGGTGCACACTTATCAAACTTAGCACTAGGTAGCTCAGGAATAGCTCAAAGATCAATTGGAGTCAACCTCATTCACATAGGATTTTGAATTAGAAGTGAATGAAGGGTCAAATGTTGACCAGACACCATTTTAGCGATGACTAGACTCACAGGTGCTATGTTCGGTCAGTGATCAGCGCACACAACAGAAGCCGAGGAGCGACCAGATACTGCACAACGATTGGAACCAGACGCGCCTCTAGTCATATCTGTAGCAGTAGGGCCTCGCTGTTAGGAAGGATCGGACGCTGAACAGTAAATGACCGGTCGCTGAGTTTGCAGCGTCAGGTCAACATAAAAAAGTGTCTAGAGACCAAAATTCCTGACCGGACGTGTCCAGTGGATGTTGGTCGGACGCTGGCCAGCGTCAGGTCACTTCAACAACCTTCTCTGATAGGCTGACGCCACGTAGCCATTGGCTACTGACCGGACGCGTTCGGTCACTTCGATCGGTGTGTCCGGTCACGCCGAAAACTGCTGAGTTAGACAATAACAGTTATATTTTAAAGTGGGGAGTATATATACTTCTCCTACTCATCCAACTTAGCTCTCTTGCCCATTTGTTCAGCCGAAAAATACCTTTAGAGTGCAAGGGAGAGTAAGAGCCTAGTGGGGTGATTGAGATTTGATAATCTAAGATTAAGGACCTCATTAGTGCATAGGGAGTAGCAAGTGTGCATCTACCTTTCTCATTAGGCTTGTCTTGGTCAAGTGAGAGTTTGTGCTTGTTACTCTTGGTGATCGCCTTTACCTAGACGGCTCGGTGGTGATTGGAAACTTAGTGATCATCCGACGAAGCTTGTGGATGACCCAAGTCATGGTGTGAGCGGTTGTGGATGATTCACCACGATAGAGTGTCAAAGAATCAGCCCGTAGAGAGCACTTGTTCCTTGCGCGGATCAAGGGAGAGCTACACCGATGCGCGGGTGCTCCAACGAGGACTAGTGGGGAGTGGTGACTCTCCGATACCTCAGAAAAACATCGCCGCATTTCTCTCCTTCTCTTTACTTTGAGCATTTATATTTGAGCAATTCAATTCATGTCTTTACATTCTTAGAATTACCATGCTAGAGTAAGATTAGAACCTAGGGTGCAAAATTTTGTGTGGTAGAACAATAGAAACACTTCTAGGCACAAGGGGGTGAAATGGGCTAAGTGTAGGGTTCAATTATTGAAAGAAATTTAGAATTAGCCCAATTCACCCCCCTCTTGGGCATCTTGATCCTTTCAATTAGTATCAGAGCCTTATGCTCCTTAAATTAAGCTTAACCGCCTAGAGCAAGATGTCCCACCGAGATGGACCCCCTCCCATCTTTGAGGGAGATGATTTCCTTATTAAAAAATTCGCATGGAGGCGTATCTAGAGGCTTTAGATGTTGGAGTGCTTAGAGCCGCCTCACAAGGCTTCCCAAAACCTAAGGATCCCGCTAACCTTCAAGGTGATGAGGTTCACTACGAGAAGTGGAATGCAAAGGCTAGAAAACACCCTTTTTAGAGGCCTTTGCAAGGATGTCTTTAACCGTATGCGGAACCACAAAGACGCCCATTCACTATGGTCGGACATTTGTGCGCTCCATGAGGGAACCAAGAGCAAGCGTGAGGAACACTATCACCTTGTGATGAAGAAGCCTAACTCATTTGAAATGCTTCCTAGTGAAAGTGCTAATGAAATATATTCACGCTTGAATGTTCTTATAGAAGAGGTCAATGGGCTTGGACTCACTCAAATGCAACCATCCGATGTTGTGAGAAAGATCTTGAGTGTCATCCCAATTGACAAGTATGAACATATTGTGACGGTGCTTCATCAAGGTGATCTTTCCACCGCTACACCAACTCAAATATTGGGGAAGATCAATGCACATGAGATGTACATGCACATCACTCCACAAGATGGATCTTCTTCCACCAAGAAAAAAGATTTGGCATTCAAGGCTAGCCAAGAGATGAGGGGCAAAGCAAAAGTTGATCATGATAGCTTAAGTGATGATGAGATTGATGATGTAAGCCTTGCTCTCATGGTGAGAAGAACCGCCAAGATGCTCAAGAAGCTAAACAAGAATGGTATCAAGTTTGATGGCAAGAAGAAGAAATTTTTCACTAGTAGTAGAAGGAAGCCCATCTCTGAAATGGATTGCTACAATTGTGGAGATCTTGATCATCTAACTCATTAATGCCCCAAACCCAAGAAAGACAAGTACAAGGGCAAGAAAGATGACTCAAGTGATGAT